AAATTTAAAGTTAGTCGTACTAGTATAGTCGTTACTAAACTAAGTAGTTATACTAATAGTGTATATATATATATATATATATATATATATATATATATTCTGTTAAGATAATAGATAAACCTTCTAGGCGAGCTGTGATTCATCCACATATATAAACTTTAGTACTATATTATAATTTTAGTACTTTACTCAATTTCTTAATTTAAAAGCAAATATTAAAAACACAGATAAACATAGATTTTTGTGTATCACATGGTATGTTGAATGCAACACTGGTTCAAATTAGATAATTAAATAAACTAAATAATGAATTCTTCCATATTAACCCTTCATAACACAATTATTTTTTTTTATTGTAAAGACCTACAAGTCATTTTAAAGCTGAAATTTTTTTTTCCTTAACTTACCTGAAGTAAGATGTGGAATTAGGCATGTATATTGTAATTTATAGAAAAAACATTTAATGTAACTCTGAAAAACTGTACACACAAAATACAATGCCAGAAGTTTTTATCAGAAGTTAAGCATCAGTTTTATTTATGCTTTTAACGTAAATCACCTGTAAAATCACTTTCACAGTTTTCCAGTTTTACCCTAGACAAATATTGTTATATTTATGATTGAAACTAAATGAGTACTTCTTTCCTTCAGACATTAATAAAACTTCTTGTATATCAACTTTGTTTAAACATTAAAAAAAAAGTAATAGAATTTTGGTGCCATTACACTATCTTGTGAAAGGATTTCAAAATGTAGTTCTTATACATACAATTCCACAGTAACTGTGGTTGTCATGTGACTTCATCATTTACATATTCAAAACCATTTTTAACTTAACATACTCAACATTGTATTTACTTGACTTTTTGTATACTCTAGCTTTATCTGACAACTTTATTTTTGCTACGTATTATTCATTTCATTCCTATTTTATCATTTTGAGATGTCACTTTCATAATATCATGCATGAACATCTCATCCAGGATATGACTGTCCTTTTAACAAGAGTCTATTTTGTCGTGCCATTACATACTTGGACTGATACTAGTTGGAATCATTTTCTGAAAATATGCTTGTGTTGTACTGGTTTGTGGCCACAGGTTGTATGTTGCAGCTTCACTTATTACTTTGTTGTTGTATACTTGTTTCTGCTAAACGATGGTATATATCTGTCTTTACGTACAACTTCCACCATTCTGTTTATATAAGTCGTGAGTTACCCTTTCTGATTTTGTAGCTATTCATCTTTGATTGGTTGAATCATCTTACAAACAGACTTCTGTTTGGGCTTTTACATCTTGGATCATATATGCTATACACCCTCATGTGTCTGGTTCAGAAGTTAGTGAACTGTCTCTAAAGGAAGCTTCAGAATTGGTAAAATATGCCTCATAAAAACAAGACTGGAAACTACCATCTGATTATTGTAGTGTATTAGTATAATGTAACATGTAATTTTCTCATACCTGCATCTGTTTCATCTGTCTCTGATTACCTCAGTGATGACTGTGCTTTATGATACGACATCATTTCTCTCGTAAGTCATTCCTTATGTCATCTAATTGATATGCTGACTTATTATTCTTGATATATATATATATATATATATACACAACACACACTCCATGTATATGGCTGCTGTTTGAAATGGAGTATTTATTTTCATGTATAATTTTCTCACCACTGAACTATGATCTGGTGACATCCCTGAGTATCTTTCTTTTGTGTGTTTTATGAACTATAGGAGATTTTTTCATGTGGTTCCTTAGCTGCCACATGGATTTTTGTTTGGTTTTATGGATCTCAGTTTGATGTGGTCTTGAGTTTTTTTTACCCCTGTTTTGCTGTCTGCCTTGTACAGGTTTTATTGGTAGGCTTAAGTCATCACTCTTCCATGTACAAAAGGTAAGGTTAATCTTGCTCACTCCCAGATCACTGTACTTTTTCATTGTCAGTATTCTATGAATTACACTTAAGAATGGCAAGTTAATTAAGGAAAACAAAGACAATTATACCATTATACCATATATTACTACCATGATTTTGTCAGGTACTAAATATTCAGGACAAATACAACTGGGCAATAAACGTTTTAGAACATTATAAGCAAATACGCAAAACTTAAAATAAAAAACTATCCTAGCTGTTGGAGAAGCCTAATCCCTTTTTTATATATGAAATATAAATAAATTAGAAATTCAAAGTTAAATTGATATAATCTAAAGTCATTGTAGAACAGTTTATAAACTTTACATAGTTTGATAGAGATAATGTTTCATATATTGGCAGTTATAATACCAGTGTCAAAAGTTCTACTTTGTAGTTACTTGATATTTTATCTTTGATATTTATAGTAAAATCAACTCTTGAAAACAAAACTGTAAAAGTTGCATATATTGCCCCTTAACATAATTTACAATGTGATTTTCAAATCAAAGCCGATCTTCCTCGTAGCTGTTTATAATCACTAGATGATGAACAAATCAGTGTGCTTCAGAACATTACATTTAAACAACATGAAATTAAAATCTGACTCCTCCTCCCATTTTACTTCTTTCATTAAGACTGCATGATAAAAGTTAGAAGGAGAAGCAATGGTTTTATTTACCCATTTAGTTACGTGTCAGTGTGTTTAATTCTTACAGGCCATCTGAACTTCAGTTTTACACTAGTATAACAATGGTTTTATTTACTCATTTAGTTATGTGTCAGTGTGTTTAATTTTTACAGGCCATCTGTTTTACACCAGTATAACAATGGTTTTATTTATTCATTTAGTTATGTGTCAGTGTGTTTAATTTTTACAGGCCATCTGAACTTCAGTATAACAATGAGTTTACTTACCCATTTAGTTACGTGTCAGTGTGTTTAGTTTTTACAGGCCATCTGAACTTCAGTATAACAATGGTTTTACTTACCCATTTAGTTACGTGTCAGTGTGTTTAATTTTTACAGGCCATCTGAACTTCAGTATAACAATGATTTTTACTTACCCATTTAGTTACGTGTCAGTGTGTTTAATTCTTACAGGCCATCTGAACTTCAGTTTTACACCAGTATAACATCATTAGCTGTTCAAGTCCCAGCTTGTCTCCTGCTCATTGATTTTCCACTTTTTTATTCCAACCTCAACAAAAACTTGATAATAGCTTATCTACTAGATGGTGTATCATTCCATTGTCAGAGTATTACGGAGTATACTCTCCTAGGCTACATCTCTCCTGTTACACACAGGTAAGTTTGACTACATCTCTCATCATACACACAGTAAAGTTTGGCTACATCTCTCATCTTACACACAGGTAAGTTTGGCTACATCTCTCCTCTTACACATAGGTAAGTTTGGCTACATCTCTCATCTTACACACAGGTAAGTTTGGCTACATCTCTCTTCTTACACACAGGTAAGTTTGGCTACATCTCTCTTCTTACACACAGGTAAGTTTGGCTACATCTCTTCTCTTACACACAGGTAAGTTTGGCTACATCTCTCCTCTTACACACAGGTAAGTTTGGCTACATCTCTCATCTTACACACAGGTAAGTTTGGCTACATCTCTCCTCTTACACATAGGTAAGTTTGGCTACATCTCTCATCTTACACACAGGTAAGTTTGGCTACATCTCTCCTCTTACACACAGGTAAGTTTGGCTACATCTCTCCTCTTACACACAGGTAAGTTTGGCTACATCTCTTCTCTTACACACAGGTAAGTTTGGCTACATCTTTCCTCTTACACATAGGTAAGTTTGGTTACATCTCTCCTCTTACACACAGGTAAGTTTGGCTACATCTCTCCTCTTACACACAGGTAAGTTTGCAATTTGAACCACTTTATCTTTAGAATCGTGTGAAACCCAAGCTGTTACATTTGTAAATACTTTCAACATATTAGACCCCCCAAAAAAAGCCATAATCATAAAAACTCAGTATTTCATTTATTCTGCAAGGACTTTCACTAATTGTTATGAGTGATTATCTCATGATCAAGGTGTCAGACTGTTTTCACCTGGGTTGGTCAGATGACAAGTCTTGAATTCTAATTTTACATAAAAATCATGAAGTTGTCAGTGTTACTTCAATTTTCATTGTCAGATCCAGCTGTGCTTAAGATTAAAATTAATCCAAAGGTCAAAATTTCTTTATTTGTGAATGTAAAGATCACACAGAAAAAGACATTAGAGTTTAAGGTTCCATATTTCTAATAATAAGTTACAGTCTTGGGATTTTAGTTACATATACAAGTTAATTTTAATGTGATCCTGAACTCAAAGCCATTCTGTTGGTTCATTATAAGAAAATACCATTGGGTGGTAGTCATAGAATAATTTTATATCTACTGGTGAAAATTCTTTAAAAATTATACTGAAAAGTTCATTTTCCTTTTAACAATGTAATGCAGTGCCTTGGCTGTAGCAATGAATATCTCTGTAATTACCAAACTAATTAAAGTGTTTATATTTTCTTCAAAAAAATAATCTTTTTATCATGTATCTATAATAAAAAATCTGATATTAAGTCTTATGTAAATTTAATTTTTATGTATTTCTAAAAAGTTTTTGATTTTTTTTTACCAGTGTTGCAAATACTGCTAAAAGAGCCCTTCTCATCTGGTTGTCTGTGTTGACATTTGGAAATCCTGTCACTCCTCTGAGTGCCCTGGGAACTGTGGTGGTGATCTTAGGTGTCTTTTTGTATAACAAAGCAAGAAACTGGAGTGTAAAGAAGAAAAGTTCCACCCCAGTATCTCACAAATCATCTGTTCACAGTGCCTAAGCATGAGGGGGTTTTGAATCATGGGTGGTGGTATTTCTTGGCAGTTACATTTGTTGAATTTTGTGATAAATGCTTTTTCAAGGGATAAAATTTTAACATAGTTTACACATTAAGAAAAGTATTTTTAATAAAATACTAAAATGTTTAAAGCATTTGGTAACCATCATGGACAATTGGAATGTGTTTCTTTACAGGTGTTCACTGGTAAATCCACTGTACATAACTGAAATGCAGTGTTTCTTTACAGGTGTTCACTGGTAAATCCACTGTACATAACTGAAGTGCAGTGTTTCTTTACAGGTGTTCACTGGTAAATCCACTGTACGTAACTGAAGTGCAGTGTTTCTTTACAGGTGTTCACTGGTAAATCCACTGTACGTAACTGAAATGCAGTGTTTCTTTACAGGTGTTCACTGGTAAATCCACTGTACGTAACTGAAATGCAGTGTTTCTTTACAGGTGTTCACTGGTAAATCCACTGTACATAACTGAAATGCAGTGTGTGTGTGTGTGTGTGTGTGACAGAAGTTCTCAACTGAACAAGATCTAAGTGTGTTTTTACAGCATAATGGTTGAAAAACCTCAGGTTTTGTTTAGGCATCCATCTCCATATTGTGAGGAGGTTTTTTCAAGAATTAAATAATTTATTGTACCAAAATTCACAGGTATAGTCTATAAAAGGCAATTATAGTACATTAATGTTACATTCCTCTGTGAATAGTATCACTTTAAATTTATGTGTTACAAAATATATTTATGAATTTAAATAAACAATGAGTTTCCTATTTGTCTTATTTATCACTGCACTATGAAGTACACTATAAGTGTTATGTACATTACTACCATTAAAAGTAAGAACCAAGACATAAACAATGACTGATAAACATACAGTAAAAGATTTTCAACCAAAATTCTCTGAAACTTTTCTAAAAAAATTTATAATTATTAGAACATAACCAGTATAACTTATATGGGAGAAAGAAAGAAAATTTGTAGATCACTAGGTACACAGGAACATTAGCATTACATGTGGAACCATTAGGGTTAATATACGCCTTAAGAACTAAACAACCCATATAGAATCACTAGACTAGGTACATCAGGAACAGTAGCATTACATGTGGAACCATTAGGGTTTATATACACCTTAAGAACTAAACAACCCATATAGAATCACTAGAAACTAGGTACATCAGGAACACTAACATTACATATGGAACCATTAGGGTTTATATACACCTTAAGAACTAAACAACCCATATACCTGATGTACCTAGTCTAGTGATTCAACACTAACATTACATATGGAACTATTTGGGTTTATACACCTTAAGAACTAAAGCAACCCATACGGAATCACAAGAGACTAAAACCATTGCATGAGGACCCACTAACTCCATCAGACGTCTGAACATTTCTGTATCTCAATAGCTAGAACAGTACATAATTTGTAAGGAATTCAAGTATTATATGACAAACTATTAGAATCCAAGTATGCCAACTACTATAACCGTGATATTCTAGCCAGTTTGAAGAACCCTGGGATTAGCATCTAGGCAAGCCAGTTGCTATAATTGGTGATATGCCAGCCGACCAGAAGAGCCTTGGTATTGATGAAAGGCCTCGTCAACACTAAATATTGCAGATATTATGTTATCAGACATTCTTTTTTACATTTACTTAGAAGTTCTTTAAGTACACTAGAACTTTATGGATGTAACCAGAAGAGCTTGAGTATATCAGAAACTTGAATGTTACATGGTGAACTATTACATGAAGGACTACTAGATCTTTAACAAAAGGAACCATGACAGCATACATTGAATGTGGAACAACTAGAACTTGTGAAATCTGTCAAGGAATATGAAGTGCATGGCAAACCAATTCCATTAGGATCTTGAAGATTACATTTAAAACAAACGAAACTTAGATAAATCAGAGACTTGAATAGGCTCAGTACTTGCAATTTTGATGCTCTGGGCAAGCGTTTAATCTGCCATGACCCCCCCCCCCCTCCTCCAGATTTACTCAATTGTGCATCAAAACTGTGGGAAAGAAAATCAGAAGAAATGGCATAGTAGTAGTTAACACATGGCTGTTGTGCCAATTCAGAATCTTACAATTACAAAAATTTCACTATACTTTCGTTAAAGTGAAATTACACACTACTTGTTTCAAGTACAGTTTTGTGTTCAATGAAATTATTGGCAATCAAACTAATCTTGATTGATCTGAGATAGATTTTAATGAATTTGAGTGTAGAAAAGCTTTCTCCATTAAAAATGATGATGGGCAGGATCAAGAGAAAAGTGTTGGAATAAGTTATACTAATCAGCTCTTGCTTATGTAATCCACAGTGATGATTATAATAATTTCATGAGAGGGCATACAGTTTGTCACACGGTTCTTTTACCATCATCTAAACAGATTTCAAAACCTTTGCAGTCTATCAGCAAGTCCTTAGAGATTATTTTTGGTGTCAGCCATTCAGTTCATACACCACATTGACTAAAAATAAAGTTTTAGAAAAGTCCTTAGAGATCATCCAAGAACTCCCTAGATTGACCTTCCTTTGGCAGCTTCTTATACTTTCAGTCTCTCATTATATAAGCTACATGTCCAGCCAAGTACCCCCACTTTGCAACTCCTTCCTACACTAACAAACATTTCTGGAGTTGATGTAGCAATCACCAGTGCTAGTGGACCCTTGGGTTGCTCCCCAGGGAAAGCCAATCGGTGGATTATAATAGAGATTGGACATTCTTAGTAGCAGATCTTCATCCTAGGTTTCTTTTTCACCCATAAATAGATTGGGGCCAGCTTCCACAGTTTTTGGGACCACAGAATAGTCCCCCGTATTACTAAGTTTGCCAGTTATGTATTGCTCAAAGCAGAAGGCGTGTAAAAGCCATGGCAGGCCCTATCAATTATATAAGTTGCTGACACGAAAAAGGCCAAGTGGTTAGGGAGCTCAACGCGCAATCTGCGGGTTCGAATCCCCGTCCCACCAAACATGCTCGTCCTTTCAGCCGTGGAAGTGTTATAATGTGACTGTCAATCCCACTATTCGTTAGTAAACGAGTAGCCCAAGAGTTGGCGATGGGTGGTGATGACTAGCTGTCTTCCCTCTTGTCTTACACTGCTAAATTAGGGACGGCTAGCGCAGATAGCCCTCTTGTAGCTTTTCGCGAAATTCAAAACAAACAAACAGACACGAAGAACAACTGTCTCTCCCTCAAAATGATAAGTTATCTTTCTCGCAACAACCAATAACAAATCGTATTAGCGAAAGGAAAATTTGAATGCTTACTTAAGCGCCTTACTGCGTCCAAACTGAGAACAATGAAAAATACAATAATATATATATATATATTGACTAAAGAGAAAGCTAATGCATTATCCAGCCCAGCTACACTGGTATAAACAACATTGTGTAGTTGCAGAAATCAGAAAAGTTAATCAATTTGATTAGTATAGGTTGAAAGTAGAGGACTACTTTAGAGATTTTAGTTAGTAGAACTTATAAACTGGGATGTTTTGTTTTGTTTTTCTGGAATTTTTCTTACCACATTGTTACTGCTTCTGAGAATAATTTTCTATCTTAAGATTCACTCATTTCTTCTTCAGAGATTGTTTGAGTTGCTTTACGTATGGTTTGGTAAAATCAGTCTGAGTTGTCTTGTTTGAAATCTTACCTGGATCAGGAAAATTGTTGATTTATGAAGCTGGTTTTATAGTTTGTTAGGCGTGGTCGATTAATTGAGTAGATTTATTTTGGGGTATAGAAATTTTCTTTTTCGTATGGGAAAGCTGGGCGAATTTGGGTGGTCTAGGAAGAAGAAATGAAGTAGGCAAAGTAGAAAAAGAAAATATTTGGTTAACTTTGTGAGAAGGTTTTTTTGTTTTTGTTCTTGGTAGTTTGGCAATGAAAGTAACCTAGGCCATTTGATAGAAGCTTAGTTAAACTTTCAGGTTTTCTGAACAAAACTTCCATGTAGTCCAGCATCGATCATGGCGTAAGTTACCCCTCAAGATATTAAGGATAAACCAACTTGGTATATAAAGGATAATTAAGTTCTATAAAACAATCACAATAAATATACATATACTATTAAATTATCTAAGTATCATTTGGTAGGTGCTTTATGACATTCATGAACTTTTTTTAGAATATTACTCGAATGTAAAAACTACATTCAAACTAATAAATTCCAAAGTAAAATCTATATAAATGTTATTGTAGTTAATGGTGTGATATGCTTCACATACTAGATTATTGTTTCATTTTAGTTTAGAAAGATGAACATTTCTTGTACGCTAAAATGCTCAACATGTTTTCCACTTACATGCGTTAGATGCACATGTTGTATATATAGAAAGCAGACAATAATCTTTGGAAGGTGATGATGTTATTCTTGAGCTAATCGCATGTTATCAATGGTAATTTGCTCTTTGATATTTAACGTGAAGTAACAGTAAACACGTCCTTTCAAAGAGGGAAGGCTGTCAAGTGGGTTGCATCCTTGACGTAAGAAACAGCTTTAGAAACGATGGCAGAGCAAGATCTGCCATCGGCTCAACGGTCCGCAAGGACTATGGAAAAAAAACAGTAAACAACAAGGGACCATATGACCCTTCAAAACTATTCCTACATACCCACAACCAAGAAAAAGAGTAAAAATGAAAATAAAGTGCGGACATTTCCCATGGATGATGGCGCTGGAGAATTATTTAGATTTATGCTAATATATTCTCTACATAGTTAATCTAGAGACTTAGAATTAGATAAAAACTGTTTTCACTATGACAAGTAATGTAGGTGAAAAATGCATTTCGCAAGACTTGATCCTATAAAATAGGAGTATAATTGTTGATTTTCTTATATTGCCATAACATTTTCTTCTTTATTATTCTTCACACCTAGAAGGATTTGCGACTGTCTCATGTATGCAACTGAATTAATTTATCTGTTTTGTATGTGTGCTGAATAAATAAAAGTGTTTTATTTAACTGTAAAACACGTGTCTTGTCTTTTTTTTCTCAACTAATTCTAACCAGAATTGAAAAAAGAGGTGAAACTAAAAGTTACATGAGGAGGTGGAAGTTAAAGTACGTGCAAAAACTTAACATAGTAATACTATGAGGAACATGGGGTATGAACTCCCAAAAATGTGGCATTTATAAACTTAAAATGGAGTAATGCCTAAAATTTGCATGGTAAAACGTAAGGCCGTCTTAGAATTGGTAACGGGTAATAGCATGCTCCCCCTCTTTCCTGGTTTCTCTGCCTATGAAATATCAGGACAAAAAATTTTATGGGTGCACAATGAGTTCCAAATGAATATAAAGAAATTAAACAATAAATATTTAATATTCATGGATAAAAATGTACGTATTTAATTATATCAAATGTTTTAGAATTAATTAATGAAAACAATATTACAATAGCCATGTTATATTGTAAATTTTAAATGTTATTTTTAAAATGCTTACACACAAATATTATCATAAAAAGTTTAATCCAGTATCCACAGTTTGTATGGTGTAGGCATAATACATGTTTTATCTCCTTATTTAACAAAAAAAAAAAAAATTACGAAATTTTTTCTTGCATACAAGTATATATAATTTTGACACAGAACGATGATTAAGGACGTAGTGAAGTTCCTTTCACCATAGTTAGTTAGTTATCTAGATAATTCCTTTAGGGTATCACGTGAAATTTCTCGTGGAAAATAATTCTGTAAAGAAGAACATATTATGTAAAAGTAGACAATGGTGGATGAGGCGATAACTCAAAGATACTGAAAGTTTAAAGACTTATAATACGGTTTCGATGCCCGTGGTGGTCATAGCACACATATAGCCTTTTGTGTAGCTTTGTGATTAACAACAAACCAGCAGTATGTAAATTCTTTTCTTTTTTTTTGTCATCTTTTGATTGTGTTTGGTTTTTAATACAAATTATTCCATATTGTATACTTGTCCAGTTTTTTGTTTACTTACTTACGTCAAAAGTAAGAGAGTTCAGATATACTCCCGCAAAACTTTTTCTGTTGAACCTACGGTTATTTTGCGGATCTTACCCAATTATTCTAAAGCAGTGTTTCTCAACTGTTAGTCCATGAGACTGCAGTTATTGGCCGCCGCAGGTCGGGACAGCTGTAAATGCCCTAAATTAATAATGTTACGTCTCCGTTCGTTAATTGATTTCCCGTAACTTCCTTCCGACGAAACTTTAGCGACACAAGTCCTTTCTTAATAAAACTGGTTTATTCTTTCCGAATACAACTTTACCGATACACTTATTTTCAACAGTCGCGCTATAACAACGAACGTGCTCAACTTCAACAATACTATCTGACTGCACTTCAATTACTCACTACCTACACACATTGTCACGTCACGTTGTGAGCGTCTTATATATATATATACCAGACAAACATATATCTAGTAAATGCTAGGGCATTCACGAAGGAACAAGATATTTCTAGAAAATAGGTGGCGTGACACTAGTCACGTGACCTCGCTGACGCAACATAAGTTACCAGCTGCATACGTGGGTCTTTACTATTGTGCCAAATAAATGAGTGAGTTTTGAGGTGCAAAGGTTGAGAAACCTTGCTTCAAGAGAAATATCAATGCACCTGAGAATATTTCAAGTTTACAGTAACATCAGTCAAATATCAGTCAATTTTCCAAGTGTTTGTTCAAAGACATATATAGAGTTCTTTTGCAAGAAGTTTGTTTTATTGAATTTTGCGCATAGCTACTCTACAGTTATCCCTAATTTAGGGGTGATAGATTATAGGGGAAGTCAACTACTGCCAATTCTTGGGCTACTGTAATCGAATGATGATATTGATCTTCACATTATAACGCCCCCAAGGCTGAAAGGGCGAGCATATTCTGTGATGGGATTCGAACTCGCAGTTGTAAGTTGTGCGTCTTAACTGCCAGGTCATGCCATGCCCTTGCAAAGAAGTATCGTTTAGCAACTTAGGCGAAATCGGCATCAAACAAACACTGGAAAGTTTATATTAGTGGTGAAATTCTCAAAAAAAAGAAAAGAAAAAAGTAGAGGTACTCAGCTGAGTGAAGTGGGCCTTTTTTGAAAAAAGAAAAAAATCTATGTGTAAACAGAAAAAAACGACAAAGCAGCTCAAATAAGTCCCGGTACTAATAACGCCTTAGAAATAAGTTCAGGTTCTCAGTACTGATGAGTACTGACAGAATTTAACCCCTAAATTCGTTAGTGCTATGGCAGTCCGAGCCCCACACTGCAGCTGTTCCCTGATACTCGTTCTGCCACTGCTGAGGACTTATACAGTAAAAATCGGGGTTGGATACCAGCAGTGAGCACAGCGCAGATCGCTTATTGTGCTTGAACACGAACAAACAAACAACACTACTTAGAGTGAGTACAAATCTTTGCTGTAGGTAATCAGTGCGCATGAGAATATTATAGTAATAATCTAAGTTCCCGTTTTTTATTATCTTCTAAATTATTTACTTAAGCAACCAAATTGATAATATATGAATACATTAAAATTTCTAGCAAGTTAGATTTCAATTTATTTCATGATTTTGAACTCCATATTAGTAATTTATCCAAATAATTATTAAATGTCACAAGAGTTAAAAAGTTTCAGATTTTGAACAGAATTGAGTTTGAACGATTATGTATTCTATCATAGAGGACTCTCATTGGAAAACAAAATGGCGACCGCAGTGTATTTGGAGCACTATCTTGACAGTAAGTTAATGTTTGCTAATAAAGTTACATTTCTACTTTAAATTGTATAAAGTATTTTAATGTCCCGCTATTTTGAATGAACTTTGAATGTTACTGAACCAGAGTTAGGCCTAATGTTGTAACAGTTATTGTCTGTATGTTGATCAAATTTAATTTTTCGAACTTAGTTTAACTTCAACGTTTTATTTTTAACTTTAACGAATATGCTAAACGGTTAGTTATCTTTACTACTACATTAGTAACGCTACATAGTAGTAATACACATCATACAGTACATCTCAGTCTCCACGATCAAACATAGTTTAGGCCCTAATAATAAAAATAAATTTCTAGGTTCGTGATGTGTACATGTGTTTGTTAATCACTTAGTGTTAACTTGGCCTAGGCTTAGAAAACAAACATTCTTATTGTGTTTAATTTTAGATGTATTTTTTCTTTTATGTTTAAAGCAAAGAGTATTCATTACAGGACATATTAAAACCAGGAATCAGAATGACCTGCTAATCCCCAGAGCAATATTTTCGTATAATTCAAACTCCTAATTCCATAAAGTTTAAACAAAACAGAAAATTTCGATATCGTGCACAACAGTCAATAAACACACTAGACATAATTATCGAAACTCTAAAAAACTTCAACAAACATATATGCCTGGAACATCCATTACAACTCTTAGAAAACAGGTTATAAACAATAAAAAAATATTTCTGCTCAAGTTAAACACCTTCTTTAAACTAATTTTAAGACCATTTCTCAACCTGTGCACAAGTTCTTATTAATAATTAGTAGTTATTCTCTTGTACTGTTAAAAGTTTTCTGAAAATCAAGGGCTACACATCAAAAACAGAAAATAATAAGCCCTTTCCATAAATTAAAAGAGTATTAAGTCAACATTATTATTTTGTAAGTTAACTCAAATTGTAAGTTACATTCTCATTTTGTTATAAAATTGTGTTAATAATGTTTAGAGTTTATAGATTTAAATATAGGTAGGATGATGTATAGTTTTTAAAATGTATCAATTTTTTTTGCTGTGGTAAAGGACAAAAATTACTTATTACCATAATAAAATTACTTATACACATAATTACTTATTACCATACATGAATTATGTGACATGCATTTAAATTACTATTTTTGTAGGTTTGGAAACATTACCTTTAGAGTTGCAAAGGAACTTCACCCTAATGAGAGAGTTGGACACAAAAGCCCAAGGTAAGAACTAGTGTTTGTGATAAAGTAGGTAAAAATGTTTTACAAATTTGTTATAGGATGATTCAATCATTTGTATGAGAGTTAATTTGTATATATACAATGATAGACTTATCTTTCAGTCACAACTAGGTATCATTCAAATTCTGGAATAATTTCACAGTAGGCTAATTTTGTAGTTTAAAACATCAGCTTAATAACTATAGATGATGTAGCTGAAGGGTTAGATACTTAACTAAAATTGTTGTTTTTATTGGTTCAAAACAAAACGTTTTACTTTACCTGCTCATCAGACTACTTCCATTAGAATGTGGACTGTTGTTCATGGAATAGACGTGACATATAAACAATGATTTTTATTTTATTAATTACATGCACAAGTTCAACAAATTTTATTTTTTTGTGAGCTGGATTTGAATCAGGGATCTATTCTACTTGGAATTCCAGAATATAAGTGTGCTGGGTTACATATTTCTTTTGGTGTAGATTATTATCTTCCTGTTTTGTAGCTTGTATTTTTGGTTTCTTGTCATTTTCATTAATTCACACCTCCTTTACATTGTGGATATCATGGCTTTCAGTATTTCAGAGGTAAGTCTACCTGATTCAAATTTTACATTCTTAGAATTAAAACAAACTCCAAACAGGTGTGTAGCTCTGAAGTCTATGCCCCCAGTAGCACAGCGGTATGTCTGCGGACTTACAATGCTAGAATCCAGGTTTTGATATCCGTGGTGGGCATAGCATAGATAGCCCATTGTATAACTTTGTGCTTAACTTCAAACAAACAAACAAACTGAAGTCTATTTCCTCTCTATAACCAAGCTATTTTTGGTTTTCATGATTAGTCTAACTTTACAAAAATCTAAGTTCTGGAAGGAAAGCAGAACTTGCATAAGATATACTTATTTTACTTTTTGGAACTATTGGTTCCCTAGAGCCCCTTATTCCTTTGGGACATGCCTTCATGTATCTCCTACAGTGGATCTTATGAACTCAAGGTTTTCTTTCTTGGGGTTCTTTAACCTCTTTTGTGAGCCTCTCCTCAAAGATGGATCCTACCTTTTCTATTTCCTTAAATCAGATCTTTACTTTCTTTGTGCTTGACATAAAAATTTGGCTTCTTTGCCTCTTCCATTTTCCAATACAGGCAAAGAGTACACCTTGGATGAGATGAGATGCAGTCTCCTGCGGGTGTGTCACACTCCATGAGCATCCATCAGATGCTTTCTGAAGTACTTATGACTAGGTAAAGCATTCTCTTTCAGTTTTATCTTACACCTTAATGAAGAGCCCATTACGGTTATTATGACTCATGGTGGTAATTGATGTTGTTCATTAGCAGAATCTGTTGAGAACAAGAGTATCATGATATATGGTAAAAAATGAAGGGTAGGAGTTCTGCACAAGAACAAGAAGCCAAAGCCATGTCATTCTGCTTAGTCAGAGATTTCTACTAAAATTATGTTTTAAGTTTAAAACATTTCTCAGTGTACTATACATTTTGCTGCTTATAAATCTACATTTTGATTAGGGGATGGTTTCAATTATTTATGTAAAATACTTATTGTTAATGAATGTTTGTGGACACTAAAAGATGAGCTTAGGAACATATATGCAATACTTTTAATAAATTGTAATTAACTTAAGTTTAATTATTTTGGAGATCATTGTAATTTATGCCACACTTTTTTTCTCTCTGAACTGCATCGTGTCTCATATACATATATGTTTTCTGTTTTTTAGAACTTTTAAAGAATATTGATAGTATAGCAGAAGAGTACTTGAAGAATGTGAGAAACCTCAGCCCTGAACAAAAAACACACCACATGGAGAAAATTCAGAAACTATTTGAAAAAACCAAGGAGTATGGAGATGACAAAGTTCAATTAGCAATGCAAACATATGAGATGGTAAGTTTGAGATAAAAGGGTTGGTTTTAATGTTATGTTAAAGACTGAAGATCAGTGTTAACAGGAGGTATGTGTGTATCAGTTTCGTGTATCAATTTGTATTCAGAATTAGAGTTGTTTGGCTTTCAGTTTAAACTTGTAATGCAAAGTTTAAATAGTTTTGTAATGTCATGTAAGAAACCCTTTCATCTGCTTCACCTCTCATTTTGATCAATGGTGTTGATTCAATTAAATGTTTGATTATTATTTGAGAACTAATATTGTATGGTTGTATACATGTAGATTTCATGAGACTGTTGACTGGACTGAAATCTGCCCAATAGTTACATGTACTTGTTGGCTTTCCTTTATTCTATTTCCAGATTATTTAATTAAGTAAGAATTAATGGTCTTTGTTCTTAAAATAAAAAAAAACTGAATTGTTGAAAATAAGTAAGAGCCAATTCTTGAAGGTTAAGGATCTTGGAAAATATACTTTTTCTCTTGTGTTTAGCATTTTTTCAGGACCTTCATTTACCAATTTCAACTGTACCATCCTATCACATTACCCTTTTTCCTTGCATACTTCATGTTATTGGTTACTGTATAATATAAACTTCAAATTTCATGTTTTTAGGTTCATTGTTTTATTGAAATGTTTTATCGTTAAACTACTTTTTTCTTATGTTTTATTTACTACATAGCTAAAAGTGTGGTTTTTATGTAGGTGGACAAGCACATACGGAGGTTGGATGCAGATTTGGCAAGGTTTGAAGCTGACTTGAAGGACAAAGCCCTCAGCATGCAATCGAGTGACTCTGAGAGTTCGCAGAAGAGTAAGGCTATATTAACATTGAATTTATAGTAGTTAATATTCTTGTGACTAATAGTCACAAACAGGTTAGACATTTGAATTTATCTTCATTAAAGTAGTATGTGTGTTGTGTTTGTACTACAGAATTCATGTTCAAGTTACAATGAAGGTTAGAAAGTTATTAACTAATATTTTTTGCTAATCTTTACAAGTGCTTGAAAAACTCCATTGATCTTCATCTGAAAATGATAATCAATGAACTATTAACTTTTCTTAAAACATCCTGCATTGATAAAACGTTTACCATCTACTATCTTTCTTCAATTTGAAAACAACAAAACATTTAATATATCACTAATAACATGTTTAAGTTATCTCCAGATCCAGCTTGAAAACAACAAAACATATAATATTTAATATATCACTAATAACATGTTCAAGTTATCTCCAGATCCAGCTTGAAAACAACAAAACATATAATATTTAATATATCAAATGTTTTGTTGTTTCAAGCTGGATCTGGAGATAACTTGAACATGTTATTAGTAACATTTAATATATCACTAATAACATGTTCAAGTTATCTCCAGATCCAGCTTGAAAACAACAAAACATTTAACATATCACTAATAACATATTCAAGTTATCTCCAGATCCAGCTTGAAAGCAACAAAACATTTAATATTTACGCAGCTTTATTTATACCAGATAAATTAATTTTTTTAATGTTTTGTTTTATAATTTGCTTTATAATGAAACAAGAACACAAATCTCTGTGTTACATGTTGATCTATTACAAACCTTTGTCTTCCATATACATGTTGGCTTTAGTTTACAATTGTTTTATTTAAGCTTCAAAATTATGATTAACAGGATATTGCAGTATCTTATTAATCACAATGTTTGAAAGCTTTTTTTTAGTTAATATTAATTCCGTTGTGATACTTTTGAACAGTATTTTGATTGACTTAATAAGTTTTGACTTTTCATATTTTCTGATGTCTAAGTTACAATATCCTTTTACATACTTATTTTAAAATAATGATTTGTATCTGTGTTTCTTTTCAGTTTCCAGTTACATGAATAAAAATTGTTCTTTTTAACTGTACTACTAAACTTTCTGTAGTGTTTCTCAAACTCACAGATCAAATAATATATTAGAAATTGCTGTATTATTTCTCTATATATCTTTAATTGTTAGCACAACAATATATTAAAACACCTGATTTTTTAACACTTTTAGTCTGTATGGTTTTCAAATAATACTTTTGAGGAGACTGATGATTAATGTTTAGTGAAGAACCTACTGAACTAAATAATTAATTCAAAAATACAATAACAGAAACTTCTACAGTAGGGAAATTCTGATTTTAATAATTACATTTTGACCCATAGTATCGAGTCATCATCAGAAGGCAGTTTAATACTCAACTTCCACACAAATGTAATTCTTAGTTGGATGGCATTCTCTACTGATATAAGACTGATACTGAGAGTTGAAATTGCTCAACAAAAACCACAGTTTGTGTCTAGTTATTGTTTGAATTGTTTTATTTACTGTTATCTATTGTCTCTCACACTACTGCAAGAGACCCCCCCAGTGGCACAGCGATATATCTTACAATGTTAGAAACCGGTTACAATACCCATGGTACTTTGTGCTTAACTTCAAACAAACACTATTGCAAGAAGAGTAAAGCACTCATTGCTATCACTTGTTTCTGGAACTTAACAAGTGCCTTTATTTCACAGTTCATCATATAAAAAGTTCCTAGTTGAATGATATAATTCACTTATAAACTTTTATTGTTCAACAATGAGATGGACCTGTTTAATGAAAGGAGTAAAATGAATTTGATGTAATCATTGGTTTTATATAAGATATTGTTTATAGCTTTACTTTCTGAGTATGTAATAATATTGAATATTTTTCCAAAGTTACATTGTTTACATTAATTATAGAAAAAGGAAGGAAATCTAAGGAAAAAGGTGAAAAGAAGAAAGCAAGAATGAGAGGAACATCTTCTGATGAGGACATTCCAAAATCCGCTCGAAAAAAACTGAAAGGACAAGTTCCCTTGTAAGAAGGATTACTTACAGATGTATTTACACTTGAAGAAGAGATATTTTATGCTTATTTTTTCTTTAAGTAAATGAAAAGTGGGTTAACCTAGAAACTTGCTAAGTTTATCGAGTATCTGCTTGTTCGCTAGACACGCCTACATTGTACCTAAAGTTATAATTGTTGTTGGGTTAGTGGAAAGTTTATGGACTTCCAACACTAAAATCACAGGTTTAACTCCCTTTGGTGGACAAAGAACAAATAGTCCAATGTGACCTCAAACAAATTATGTTTTTGAATATTATACCTTTTCTAAAACTAAGTACTTATAAATGAAGCTATGAGTAAAAACACATTTATCAACTTTTAATGATTAATATGAAAAAATGTAGATGTATATTTGTATATGCTGAGCTGTGATTGGATAAATGTATATCTATTTATATATACTGAACTGTGGTTGGGTATATATATATATATATATGTATATATATTTGTATATGCTGAGCTGTGATTGGATATATGTATATCTATTTATATATACTGAACTGTGGTTGGGTATATATATATTTGTGTATGCTGAGCTGTTTTTTTAAGTTCCTAACCTGGACGAAGGACGGGTACCTCAGCTTGTTTTTTTATATATTAGTGTTAAAACAAGTGTTATACTGTTTGAACATTCTTCTCTGTTACTTATGTAATGGTAATTAAAGTAAGTGTTATATTGTCGACCTATTTTACACTGCTGTTAATTTCTCAGCAATGACAATATCTTCAATAGCCATAAAATTCTCTGTTTTTTAAGTCCTCCCTGAAAATCTATAAAAGTTTATATATATAGTCTTAAAATCTCTGTTGAGGTTGACTTTGACTTGGTGTGTTTATGGATGTGCTTTGAGTATGTAAGCATTTAGGTGAGATATCTTTAATAATAAAATTTTAGAAAACCACCAAATATAGAGTTAAGACATCATCATCATCAAGAACTCCAGGTAGAAAGGAACTTGTGGTTTTAGGAGGTGAGGAAAATTATGGTTGTCAGATGTAGTGTATACTTCATGAGGAAAATTATGGTGTCAGATGTAGTGTATACTTCATGAGGAAAATTATGGTGTCAGATGTAGTGTATACTTCATGAGGAAGATTATGGTCATCAGATGTAGTGTATACTTCATGAGGAAAATTATGGTTGTCAGATGTAGTGTATACTTCATGAGGAAAATTATGGTTGTCAGATGTAGTGTATACTTCATGAGGAAAATTATGGTCGTCATGACAACCATAATTTTCCTCATGAAGTATACACTACATCTGATGACCATAATCTTCCTCATGAAGTATACACTACATCGATTTAGTGTATACTTCATGAGGAAAATTATGGTTGTCAGATGTAGTGTATATTACTTCATAATTAATATATATGAAAGCATTACAAGATCTTGTACTTGTGAGATGCTTGGTTTTTGTTGTTATTGGTACTGATTCAAGTTTTATATTTTTAGACCAGAACCTGTTCCTGTACCAGCCTTAGGTATTACTCACCCATCAGATGTGCTGGACATGCCCGTTGACCCAAATGAACCAACATACTGCCTCTGCCACCAAGTGTCATATGGAGAAATGATTGGCTGTGATAATCCAGATGTATGTTGTTCTGTTTCATTTAATCAAGACATTGTTCATTTTTTTATTAGATTTGTGTTTACCAAGGTTATCTAACCGACAATTTAAAAACAATACAATATAAAGTACTCCCAAGGAATATGTTATGTTATCTATAATATAAGTAGTTTACCGTGTTGTTTATACAGTAGAACTCCTAGTAACATTGTTAGAAGTTACTCATCTCTTACTCTCCTGCTACAAAACGTTTGTAGCAGGAGAGTAAGAGCATGAAGGTAAAGACATTGAACAAGATATATTGATGACTACATTTGTAGCAGGAGAGTAAGAGCATGGATGTAAAGACATTGAACAAGGTATATTGATGACTACATTTGTAGCAGGACAGTAAGAGCATGAAGGTAAAGACATTGACCAAGGTATATTGATGACTACATTTGTAGCAGGAGAGTAAGAGCATGAAGGTAAAGACATTGACCAAGGAAAACTGATGACTACATTTGTAGCAGGACAGTAAGAGCATGAAGGTAAAGACAGAACAAGATATATTGATGACTACGTTTGTAGCAGGAGAGTAAGAGCATGGATGTAAAGACATTGACCAAGGTATATTGATGACTACAGTAAAGACATTGACCAAGATATATTGATGACTTTCATGCTCTTACTTCATGCATGGTTTAAGATGTTTATTTCCTTCGTATTCATGGTTCATGTTGTCATTTTTCAGATGTGTTTCTTGTATTTTTCTAAAGCAGGATTCTGTTTTTGATGTTAATGCTGTGCTACAAAGAAAAGTTACTCTTCCTTTTCTTTGTATTTTTTTTATTCAGTTATCTTGGAATAGCCATCGAAATCAATTATTTTTGTTGTTGTTTTGATTTGGTCAAAATTTGGTTCATTTCTATATAAACCTTTTAAGTGAAGATTATTTCTTATAATTTTAATGTTAGTTAGACTACACTAAGAAACATGTAATAGATCTGATGGTACAGTTTATCAGGAACAGAAAAACATAGACGATCAAAAAAATATAATAGTTTCAGTAAAATTCAATTATCCAGTTTTCAGTTGACGGCTCCGTTCGTCCTTTTGTTCGTAATGACAGTGACATCTTTCATACTTTACATGTTCTTTTTCTCTTTCAGTGTCCAATCGAATGGTTTCATTTTGCCTGTGTTGGTCTTACAAGTAAACCGAAAGGAAAATGGTACTGCCCGAAGTGTTCGTCAGAAAGGAAGAAAAAGTAGATCCTTAACCGCCTTTCTTTCCGTTATTTTATGTTTCCTTCATTTTCATTAGAACCACTATAATGTAGTGACTCTCATGAATTTTATAATATCTTCATGGCTTTTTAATGTTTTTAATATAAGAACTTTTTACTGCAACTCTTGCTTTGAACATTTTCTACAGAAGTCAGAAAGTTGAATGTCATTCATTTTAGAAGTGTGGTCTTTTATATGTCCAACAAATTAATGAAAACTTGAAGTGAAGAAACTGTTTCAAAGTGAAACCTATTCATATCTCTACAGCTTGAACAGTGTTGTACAAAGGCCCATTAGTTGTATAACATAATACTCCTCACCATGTATTATGTTCTTTGTCCAAACATGTAATGTGATATAGTTTCTTTTCTTGCTGTAATTACTTGCTTTATGTTTTGAATTTACAATCACCACAACTAAAATAAATGCCTCAATCTATTTTATTTTATTTTTTTGTACTACATTTTGTGAAAGTAATGAGATCCAAAAGTAAACAAGTATCCTGAATGTTTAAGTCATTCATGAAAAAAGCAAATAATACAAGTTACTTGAATGTGTACTTGATGGTGAGAAAGTTCCAGAGTTTGGATAAACACATTATTAATATTTAAATAAACAGAAAAAGATAAAACAGTTGTCATTAATAATTGTTGTTTCAGTCAGAATTGAATCCACTTTTCTAAGTGTTAGGCTTGTAACTAAACTTAAATTTTTGTGTTAACAGTTAAATTTAAAATAAAAGCCTGAAGAATAGAAAACTATCATATCTAACAGAATACCCAGGATTGGGCTGATATGAAGAAAGAGCCATAGTATTGTTTTATTCCTTTTATTTTACTGTAATAATGGAAATGTCCACAAGTATATTTCCGTGTGAAGTTTTATAACTCCTGGTGTCATTACTTGGTTTGAAGATCTATGATAATAAAGTGGCCGTGTTGAGAAGAACAGTTTTTAATTAAATGTTTGTTTCACTTAATTTTGATCAGAAAATAAAAACAAATGTGGATTGACCACCTTTATATTTGCAATAACTCTTTTTTTGAGTGATTTTAATGTAAATATTAAAAATTAAGACAGAAAAACACACGTAGTAGTATTCTTTGTTGATTGATATTTATATGGACCAAAGAACAAGCCATAACAACAGCTCCTTGGTGTTGGCCATTCTGTCTTTTAATGAACATTTCCAAAGATGTTTATATAGACCAAAGAAGGAGCTGTTGTTATGGCTTGTTTTGTTGGCCATTCTGTCTTTTAATGAACATTTCCAAAGATGTTTATATGGACCAAAGAAGGAGCTGTTGTGTTGGCCATTCTGTCTTTTAATGAACATTTCCAAAGATATTTATATGGACCAAAGAAGGAGCTGTTGTTATGGCTTGTTTCGTTGGCCATTCTGTCTTTTAATGAACATTTCCAAAGATGTTTATATAGACCAAAGAAGGAGCTGTTGTTATGGTTTGTTTTGTTGGCCATTCTGTCTTTTAATGAACATTTCCAAAGATATTTATATGGACCAAAGAAGGAGCTGTTGTTATGGCTTGTTTCGTTGGCCATTCTGTCTTTTAATGAACATTTCCAAAGTAAACAAGATACTGAAAAGAAATATACATTTTTTTACTTCAAAGACAGAATCATACAGTTTCAGTTATTGTAAATAGTTTCTCATCCTGAAATTTGTATTGCAAGCTCAACCATTTTCACTGTAGAGCACAAACATCAAGATTAAGAAATTTTAACTTGTTAAACCAGATTACAACTATGTTGAACTACCACTGTTAATGTTGTCTTAGTAACTTTTAACCAGAGTCTGTTGATATGAAGTTAAGTTGTTTTGATCAGTTTAAAGTTAATGAATTCAAACTATCTTGGAATCAGTTGTCTTGAAGGTGACCGTCAGTAAAACATTGTATGTGTCCTAACTCATGAAAGAATTAGCACAATGGTTTCATATAAAAGAACAAGTAGATTTCAAAAGACCCAGAAAATTCAGGGCTTTTTTCAGGAGTAAAGAATAGTTAACCATTTGAATGTACTCACGTTTTTGGTTTTATGTTTCCAAAATGTCAACAATAAGATATCAATTACACTACATTAACATCAGTGTTGTCTCTCTGTACATTCTATGAATAGTCAATAAGTTCAGAGAACTTGTTTGAGCAATCCATAGGTACAGCTGACCGTTGGAGATGGTTGTTGAATGGTGAAAACCTATTATATGGCTGTCTGTTGGAGATGGTTGTTGAATGGTGAAAACCTATTATATGGCTGTCCATTGGAGATGGTTGTTGAATGGTGAAAACCTGTTATATGGCTGTCCGTTGTAGATGGTTATTAGTGGTGTGAACCTGTTAAACAGCTGTCCAGTGGGTATTGTTATGAATGGTGTAAACCTGCTATACAGCTGTCTGTTGAAAATGGCTGTTAAATGGGGGGCTGTAGTTACAAACAATAATCAGAATATATCATGCTCTTGAAGAGATAACTGTTCAAGCAAGCTCAGTTTTGTTTGCTAGAAAACAATGTTTTGACCATTGCTTCAACCACAGCATTAGCTTGTGGTCCAAATTATGATTGTAAAATACCACTTACATATTAGGCAGAGCTGTAATGACATCATCTAAATGCACTCGTACAGTGAATTGCTCTTGTGCAGATTTATTTTATGATTTTACCACAGACCTGCACTCTACTAGGTGCTAAAGTAGGAAACTTTTATAGGACATCTAAAATGCTAAGATCTGCTATAACAACTCTCATACAACAGTGGTGCAGAAGCTATTTCAGGGTCCATACTCCACCTGGAATTACTGAAAAATCATGGAAAACTAACACGCTCCTGTAAAAGTGCTTAAAAGTCCTGGAAATGTACAAAGGCTGAAAACTCGAATTAATTTACTATTAAAAAAATTTTTTTTGTCTGTTCCCTTCACATAAACCCAAGAAATTAATATTTTAAGAATTTAACACGGTTAAGTTCACATGGGTGTACTATAATCGTTTTAAGTTAGGCCCTTATATATAATGCATAGGCCATGAGAAACGTTACCAAATTGAGTGTTGTCTGTGTTATTCTCATTAACAATTCATGATGGTTCATGGGTTTGTTGAAACTTAACAAAGCATTGATTTATCATGCTTAATGCTTGACAAAAAGGTAAAGTATAGTAAAGCTATGCCTGGCCAGAAATGCTCATTTAATGCCTTATGGCTTGACAAACCAGAATATGCAGATTGGCTTGTACATGAAGGTGCAACCAAACACAATGTTGGTTGAAAGCGTGTGCAAGAAACCCTTTGACATCTGAAGTATAGGTGAAAATGCACTTAAAAGCCACATGAATTAATGCACTTAATAGATTTTGCAAGTAAAATAGGTTTTTGTTTATAATTATTCACCTGGAAATTGATTGATTCAGTTTCAACTTGTGTCTGTATGGACCCTGTTTTTCTTTTGCTGCAACTTAATCACCATTAGCCAGAAAACATCTGAATTTATCGGCCTGAGTGATCATTACGAGGCAGTGACTGATACACAGTGAGATTGAACAGAGTTTTAGCCGCTTCTCTATCAACTAACGACTACTTCCTGTCTGTATGCTTTTACATCCACATATCTCAGTACTGTAGACATCATGCTAACCATCAGACCCAAAGAAAGAGAGAGATAGCTATTTTCTCCCAGATCCATAGCCAGACTTCAAATAGGACTCACTAGTATAAATTAATAGATCTGATAGCATTCATAGCTTATCATCTCCCAGAAGCCTATTGCTGATGGTGACTTGGTGAATGTATGAACTTCTGCATGGGTGTAGGGGAGGGACATCTGCACCATCAGTTACAAAAGAGCCCAAAGTTATAGCTGGTGCCTCTTATTCTCCATGAATTAGGAAAACTTCCCAGCATCATTACAGTTGGAGTAGCATGTTGTTACCACTTAGTTGGGAACTATACAGGCTTAACCAAGCTAAAATACAGCATGAGGGGTGGTGTCATATGGTGAAGTCTTTCATGATGTGTGGTGTTATGTCCGCAGGTTTTTTATGCTCCAGTATCTTAGTAGGCTACAGTCTTGTACCTTATTTCTATGAACACAGCTTCAGTCAGTGACATAAGGTTTCTAGTAATGTCTTCTAGAGTCATAGGGAAGCCATTCACATCCTTACATGTCAAATTGTCTTCTTCGAAGTCATCAGCATGGTTTTGTAAGCCATTCACAGGGTGCATACACATCCTTGAAACGGAGAATGGAATTTAAAGGGCTTAAAAATGCTTTAAAAGGATCCTTTTTTGCAAAAGTACTTGAAAGTATTATAATAGGAGAATATATAGATATATCTAACTTTAATTCATGTTGAGTGCAATAAATAAAGCCTTTCTTTTCCTTTTTTAGTCTCATTCATACGTTGAACAAATAATAGGAATTTTGTAAAATTTCAGAGGAATCCAGTTAATTGAGAGTGCTTAGAAAGTGTTTGAAATTGATCTGAGCAATTCAGTATGAATGATGTATTCACATCCTTACATGTCAGAATGTTTTCTTGGAAGTCATCAGCATGTTTTACCAAAGCTTTTCAGCTCACAGATGTATGATGCTACGTTTACAAGGTTCTGTTTTCTATTCGATCAAGGTACGAAGTTGGTCAGATTTTAGGTTCTCCATGAAATCTGTATGTTGTACCATCTTAACTAATGTGCTGAGCCGAAACATTCAAATTACATATGTACTGAAAGTGCTTAAGTAAATAATATAAATCTTTCTTTGCTGCACCCCTGAAGAACTGACGTGAAATTTGTTTGACTTTGATGGTTTTAGCAAGATCTACTTACAATCTTGTGTCATTCTGCAAAACTTTCTGTGAAGCCCTTGCTAACACAGGCACTAACTCTTCTCTATTGGCAGTTGTTCTGTTGAACATTAAACTCTCATTTGATGACCAGACAATGCAGTTTTTACAAAAACAACACTCATGATATATATATATATAATTAGGCTCCACCACTAGTCTCTGTCGCTTATATAAAAGGATACATCATTGAAAAATCTGATAAGTCATCAAATAGTCACATAACATGTCTCTACAAAATAGAATGCTGCTAACAACGTTGTGGTAATTAAGGTGAGGATGAACAGCTATGTGAACACATATCAATGTTTTTTTCTCGTTTACTTTAGAATGACAAACATATATTTTTCACCAAAATTGTTAAAACAGTTATGACAGTTGTACCTTGGTACATATGTTAGCCTATAGGATACAAACATATGTTGAATTTATTCTTGTGGAAGTCAACTTCTCGCAGATGTGTGACTACATAATGTATTTAGGCTTGCGCCAATGGGTTTTTGAACTTGCATCAATATTGTTACGACAGCGGAAGTCGCACGACGCTTGGAGCATGCGCTGGAGTTCTAGAAAGATCGTAACTGTTCCTCGCAACTCTAGGCATGCAATGTTCTTGTGTATAAGCCGGCAAATAAAGTGACGGCAGAGATAGAGACCTACAATCGAGTCAAGTCGTAAGTAAAGTGTGTAAATCGTGAATTCTGGCGTGTGTTGAAGTTAAAGTGACTGTGGAAAGTAATTGTATTTCAAAGTTGTATTGAGAAAGAATAAACTAGTTTTGTTTAAGAAAGGACTTGTATCGCTGAAGTTTTTTAGAAAGAATTTCTACGGAAAATTAACAAACGACCAGAGACGTAACAATATATAAAGGTTTAAAAATAATTTTCTTACCTGTTTTTTGGTAATAGGAGAGTAACGTGACGTTAGCAGTATGCCATGATGATATCTTACCCTATCCAAATAAGTTTATAACAGCTGATTCTCATAGTCTCGTTCAGATTGAGATTTGAAAAATATTCCACTCTTTTTCTACAGAAATAGAAGTGCGATTGTCTATTGTGTTGTGCGGGAGCATCACTGACTGAATTGTTGTGTTTGTCTTAAG